TTGTATGTGGCAAGTGAACACCTCTCTCTCTGCTCTGATCATCATATGAGCTGGCTCCCTCTGCCACATTCTTCTGCCATGATATTCTGCCTCATCTTGTATCCTGAGGAATGGAGCTGGCCTTCTATGAACTAAGCCCTCTGAAACAATGAGCCCTTAAATAAACTTTTTCTCAACATACAATTGTGCTTGTTGGGTCCTTTAGTCATAGAAGCAAAAAAGCAACTAAAACATTCTCCATTTCTATTATTTTTCCTGCAAATGACATAATTCCATTTGTGTTTACTGCTGAGTAAAACTCCATTGGATATATATATATATTCAGTAATCTGTTGATGGACACCTAGGTTGGTTCTATAAACTTTGTTATTGTGAAGTATGCTGCCATAAACGCAGATATGTGTGTGCTGCTATAGTGTGCTAATTCTATTGGACAAATATGGAGAAAGGTATAGCTGGGTCATATATTGGTTTCATTCTTAAACTCTTATCACAGCAACAAAAACCTGACAATAGAGGTCACCTGTGTGAAAAACTGATGGGAACTTCAGCAAAGGTTTCTCTTACTTCATAATAATTATCTCAATTTGTAATTTAATATTATTTTTTGTGTTTACTTGTTTAGCATCCCTCACCATTAATCAAGGTTGAGACTCATAAGGGTAAAGATTCTAACTGGCTTGTTGGTGGTATTTGGCACATGTCCTAAACACAGCAGATAGGCAGCCCTGCCAATCCACAGTGACACTGAGGTGCAGCACACACCTCCTCCAATGCCATGAGGAACTGTCTCTGGAACCGATATGTTCCTTGGCACTCCCAACCATGAGACCCCATCATTCATCAACCAAAGCTTAGATACCACCGGGTAACCCAAATTAGCAAGATCAAGTTTTGCCCAACTGAGAAGAATGTGCACTTAGCTAAGTTAAATAAGTAATCTTGCCTGCATATTTTTCATAATCAAAATTATGAATTGTGAATTTTGAACCTCATACACAAATTGTTCCAGAGCACTACTCTGCCTCTCTATACCCAGAGAAATTCACTCAGACAGTGCAAGTCAAGATAGGCTTCCTATGGGAGGAACCACCTGGACCACCATTATGAAAGGATGGAAATGCCATAATGATGTCATCCTTACATTGCTGAGTTGGTGGTTCACCTGTTCATTTACACTTATAACAGCCTGATGCCTCCCTGAATGTTATCTAGATGAAACTTTTACCTGTTGTCAACGCGAAAAAGAAAGAAGATAAACCATTCATATTGATAAGGACTGTATGTTTCTCATACCTGTATGATGCATTTTATGTGGCTGGACTGTCCTTATTTAAACTACATCCTCATTTATCTCTATCTGCAATCAGAATAATAACTGGGCATTAGTCATCTGAGTACTTAAATATTTAGAACAGATCTTTTAAGATATGTATTTCCTGCTTTATTTCCTCAGATTTTTCCCTCTTCAGATCAACCAAATATACACATGTATACCACCTGGCTTTTATTTCTGTAAATTATAATTGTGTCTGTGGGATAGATAAGGAGAAGCAATCTAACTGCTTCCTCCCAGGTTGATCAAATGGCATCAAGTTTAATATGCATTTTACCATCTTCTATCTATTTATTAGGTGAACAGACAGCCAAATCCAGCCAGCTAGGATCAAGGCAGGTCCCAGGGTTAGGCTGTCAGCAATAATCTCACCATAACCCAAAATCTTTCATATACTTTTTTGTATGTAAAACCTCTATGGAACTATATAATTCCATCTTTTTTCAAGACCTGTATTTGGCTAAGATGATGAAATAACCAAGGCTAATAAGATTTATCTCTTATTTATTTCCTTATTTCTTTATTTATGCTATGTCCTTATTTGTCTCTATCTGCAACCAGAATAATAAATGGGCATTAGTCATGTGAGTTACTTAATATTTAGAACAGACCTTTTAAGGTATATGGTGTTTTACTAAATATGTGTGAGGAGAGGTCAGAGGTCACGAAGACTCTCTTCTGGCACATAATGCTTTCCTGCCTTGGTGCAGCACAAATTTAGTATGCAAATAATTTTGTGTTTGAAGATATTACCCTCTATGGAATTAAGTTCATGAGGAATATGTGAATATGTCTCTCTCTCTCTCTCTCTCTCTCTCTCTCTCTCTCTGGTTTGTGTGTGTGTGTGTGTGTGTGTGTGTGTGTGTGTGTGTGT